AGCTGGAATAAAGGAATAATCTGTAGAAAAAATCACAAAATCTTTTCTGGCTTTCAATATATCTTTACCAACAACTCAGCAAATTAGAAATTGCCCAAATCATACGACCTTATCATAGAGCTGTAAAAGCAAAGGGTATTTGATATTCGCTTCGTTCTACTTTTCGTTTTTTTATGATGTGTGCTTTTTTGTTGTTTATTGCTTTCATTTTCTTGTTTATTTGCTCGCCACTTGTTTTCTTGCCTTTTATTATTATTATTAAATTTCGTTCAAATATTTATGCACTATATTCCCCCCCCCCCCTCTCTCTCTCTCTCTCTCTCTCTCTCGCTCTCTCTCTGAGAGAGAAGAGATCCATATATAGAATTTTTGCTAATGAGTTTGCTGTCAAAGCGAACTTTTCCTTTCCGTTTTGGTGACATTGAAAATGGAAATTTTTTTTGGCAAATTCTCACGGCACAGTTCCATTTTGGGAGAATTGTGTAATACTCAGAATTAGAACTACGTAGTAAAAATTTTTGAGATGCTAATTTTTCGCCCACACACACAACATTTTTTTTCTCGGTTCTTTTAAAAAAAATTGTGGCCCACTTTGAGAACCGATTCTGACTCACTTTCAGGTGGCAATAATGCCCGATATGTGTGTTATATATACATATAAATATATATATATCGCTTCAATATGCGCGTTAGTCTATATGGCATAGGTCTATGTATATGCTTTTTGTTGGGCAGGTTTTTGTGTGTTTTGATCTTGTAAACAAATCACATCATTTAGTTGATATCGAATTAAGTTTGCTGGAATTCGATAATCTATAGAAAAGTCTCGATGACGCAGTTTTTAAAACCCGAGAGCTGTACAATCAAAGATTTGCTTTGTTTTCGCTTTGTGTTTTTTTATTAGCCTGAACCCATTGAAAATGTGTAAAAAGGGTATCATGTATTTGTGCAAAGGTATGTTACAGGCAAAAGGAAGCATGTCTGTCCGTCCGTCTGTATAAACGCAAGGATCTCGAAACCTATAAGAGCTAGAGACTTGAAATTTTAACTGTAGGCCCGCCTAGTCCATGCGCAGATCGTTTGTTTCCGATATTCGATAACTTGCCCCGTTTTCAAGTAATCGATAAAAATCGATATCGTAATTCTGTTTTTTGAGCAAATCTCGTAAATTATAAGACCTAGAGTGACCAAACTTGAAAAGTAGCTGCTAGAAGAGTATATATATATCAAGTATCTTTAATTTTATAGCTATCGCCTGTTGCAAGAAGAGGGTTCAGGGTATCCCCTAGTCGAGGGAGCTCCCGACTAGAACCTCTTACTTGTTATTCATTTTGTTATTCGCAATAAAAAAAAATATATTTATAGCTGCACATAGTTAAGGCGTTTCCAAATGTCATTTTTATTTGCATATCAAAGAATTTTGGACTTTTATTATGCGGCAACAAGTAGCCAATCGAGCTTCTCACTTGTGCGACGCAATTTTCGAAAAAAAAAAAATATTCGAATATTTAAATATTTGGACTATTTTTAAGCACAAGGCAATTGTTAGTGCCTGCGCCTGCAAATGCATCTGAGAACAGTGCACAGTTATTAAGAATAGAGCCAATTAATAGTTTGACACATAAACCCCAAGTTGTCGTAGCTGCTTTTACTATATACTAGTGCATATAGAGTATATCTCTTAATACCCTGTATCCATTTTGTGGAAATGAGTATACCTCTTTATACCCTGAAGCCATTTTGTGGGAATTTGTGTTACACACGAAGTGAATAAATATACTCTTGATCGGAACTCAGATTTGAAATTAAAATGAAATATTCTCTTATACCTATACCTTTTATACCTTCTATTTTAATAATATTACTAAATGCACAAAAATTCGTATGTAGTGTATATATATTTCCCTCCATACCCCATAAAATGAACTAGTGTCATATTTATGCCCTGAAAATTGCCGACGGATCGGACAATAAGCACCGAAGTTAATCAAGAAATCGTTTTTAGTGTGCAGCTTTAGTGCATGTACATATGTATAATTATACTTTAGATCTGCGCTGAAACCTGAAAATTAAATTAAATATTCCCTTATACCTAATCAGCTATAGGTCCTATATTAATAATATTACTAAATGAACAAAAATTTGTATATATAAAACTCGCTCCATACCCCATAAAATGAAATAAAATGCACAAGTGTCATATTTATGCCCTGAAAATTGCCGACGGATCGGACAATAAGCACCGAAGTTAATCAAGCAATTGTTTTTAGTGTGGGGCTTTAATGTATTTATGTATAAATTGATTTTATATATATATTTTTTCATAGCAGGAATATCAACTTACAATGTATGTGTGTTTTTTATATACTTTTGTAGAGCAGGAATATAAACTGCTTGTAACAGAGTATTTAGCAGTCGGTCACTCGACGACTAGACAATGCCGTTTATTTGTTTCGTTTTTTAGCTGTAAAAGTTATGTGACGGATATAATTGGCTACAGGGTGTTTATGGCTTTTGCATTTCTGTTTTGTTTTCCATTTTTCCGTTTCGCTATTTCTCTCTGTTCTCTCTGTTTTGCTGTTTTTCTGTTTTCCCGTTCTGCCGGTGGTGTCTAAGGTCAGTTTGAGGTGCAGTTCAGTTTTGCGAGTGTGTGTGTGTTCGTGTTCGTGTGCGGTTTTTCCAGCTGTTAAAATGCAGCTAATTTCCAATTCATTCCCCATTATCTACAGAGCCATAAACTACTCGCTACAAATATTATGTAATGCCGTTCGACCTTATCTAAAAAATGGCACTATTAAAAAACTATTTCAAGGCCTTCATTTTTTTTAGCCAGCATGCGTTCCAGAGAGTTTTGTATGTACATATGTACATATGTGCGAGTTACCTGCACAGGTAGATCCCAAGCACACACACACACACACACACGAACAGCATGGTGTATGCTTAACAAGAGCAACGTTTGTTTGATACACTTCCGTGTTCTGTGCTGTTGTCTCAAGGTATATCTCTGTCGCCATCGCCACATCTGCTCCTAAATTTACATACAAACACACACACACACACGCACAGGGTAGACCTAGTGCGCCACTGTTGAAAAAAAAAACAACTACACAAAATCAAAAGAAATGTTGAACAAAAACGAAAACAAACTCAATAAAAAAAAAACCTTTGCGGCGATCAACGGCCGTTGTTTTGCGCCTCTTTCGTTCAAATTTCATTGTACATATTCAGTTTTCAATGTGTGCGTGTGTGTGTGTGTGTGTGTGTGTCTGGCGCTCTCTTCGCGAGCGTGCATAAGTGTGCGCGCGTGAGGTGTATTTTAAATCACACATATTTCAATTTGTTTACAAAGCTCTCAAAGAGAGCCGCGGCTCTCTTGCGCAGTGGGCGGCTGTGTTATCATGTGCCAATTTAAGAGAGTCTGCGACTGAGTCGAAAATGAAACTCAATGTATTTGAATACAAAGCTTTTTCTGATAAGATACATAACTACATCCATACACACATATATATGCTATATGTGTTGTACATATTTCAACAAAGAGCGCACAAATTCGGCTGCCCAAAAAAGAAGAAGAAGAAGCAGAAGCGTGATAAGAGCATTTAAAATTCGTGCAAAGTTCGTCAAGCTGCAGTCAATCTTCAGTAGCTTATCAGCGTCCCCATGCAGACAGCGCGGCCAGTGTCAATAGACTTTTGATAATGTGCACACACACACACACACGCACGCACACTTTGAATAGTGTGGTATACACACACACATATTTATATACATCATGTCTATCGACAAAAGCTTCGCAAAGCAAATGTTTGCCAGCACTTCGATGCCTCTCTTATGATTAACTTGTTAATAAGCATTATCAGTTAGTTAGTTTGGCATGCTAAATGTAGTTACAAAAGCAGCGACTTTTGCACGCACACAACCCTAATAATGGAACTCAATTGAGCAACACGCATCTGACAAGATCATAACCCAGAGCACAGTCTGGCTGATTGCGCCAACACACATACCCACCAACATGAATACCCTACGATAGTACTCTATTTTCGCTCTTAAGCACACACGCCCTCTTTTGGCTTTCGCTCTTTGTGCTGGGAATTTTCCTTATTTATATTTACAAATCTGCAAGTTGGAAAGACTGGAAATGAGTTAATAGATATTTAATTAATTAAATCATTTTAAAATAGGAAAAAATATAAATTGTTTTTTATTTATAACTTTTTTTGTCACAAAATGTTTTTCTTCTTAATATTTTAATATGAAAGTTTGGAAGGACTAAAAATGTGTTAATACAAATTTAATTGATTAAATATTTTTAAAATGTGGAAATTATAATTTTAGTTTATTTATTACGTTTTTTTTTGTCACAAATTTTTTTCTTCTTTATATTTTAATTTGAAAATTGGAAATTAATTTAATATTTATAAAATAGGCTAATTTTAATTTTATCTTATTTTTTTTTTACTAATTTTTGTCACAATTGAGCACGCTTTTTTAAAGCATAAAAATATCTTGTTGCGTAATCAATTTGCAACAGGGTTAAATTACCTGAATTGGAAAATCGAATTAGACTGGCATCATCTGCTTCTTCTTAGCATGCTAAATGTGAATGAGTATTATAATGGAATGCCAGGCCCATCATTTGTCCCATTACCCGTAAAAGCTAGTTCGTGTAACAAAATGACATGGCAAAATGATTTAATGGAATCGCAAAATGATTTAATGGAATTGCAAAATGAGGGCAATTGGCATTATGATTAACGGTTAGATCAATTGAAAGTGTGTGCGTGGAGGGATCGTTGCTAAGAGCTTCCATTTAGTTGCAATCAATTTAACTAACTCTCCCTCTCTCTCTCTCTTACTCTCTCTGCAAAATGAGGGCAATTGGCATTATAATTAACGGTAGATCAATTGAAAGTGTGTGCGTCGCTAAGAGCTTCGTTAAGTTGCGATCAATTCAACTAACTCTCCCTCTCTCGCTCTTACTCTCTCTCTGGCAGTGCTGCTTCCAGTTTTGGAGCGAGCTGAGGAAAGCCACAAAGCTGCAACTACAGGACGAACTGTTTGCCATCATGGACGGCTTCGCTCAGGACTGGCCCAATCTGCCCCGCTCGGATAACGGGCTGCATATGGATCAGCTGATCGGCGAGCTGCCAACAGATGGCGGCTTTGAGCCGCAGACGCGCGCCCGCTCCAACACGTGGCCATGTCCACGGCCCGAGAACTTTGTGGAGCCCGTCGATGAGCTGGACAGCACCAAGGCCAGCAATCAGCAGCTGGCCAGCGGCGGTAAGCAACTGATCCGACTCCGACTCTCTCTCTCTCTCTGATTCTATTTGACAAATTGTTGCTCTCACAGATCCACAGCAGGCCATGCAGAATGCGAATGCGGCCAAAAAGAACTCATCCCGTCGCAATGCATGGGGCAATCTGTCCTATGCCGATCTCATAACGCACGCCATAGGCTCCGCCACGGACAAGCGTCTAACGCTGAGCCAAATCTACGAGTGGATGGTCCAGAACGTCTCCTACTTTAAGGATAAAGGTGACTCGAATAGCAGCGCTGGCTGGAAGGTAAGTCTAAGTCATTGTTATTTACTGGAAATCTCTCTCCCTTAGCTAATTAATTCAATCGGACCCAATTGCTGTAAATTCCCTATAAGGGGACATCTTCTCTTTAAAGGGACATCTTCTCGTTAGGTTAGTTCCCTCACTTGAGCTCTTACTGTGAACGAGTTCACAATTTTTGAGCTATTGCATAATGCTAACTGGTTTATTTGACTATTGTTGTTAATTCCCCTTAAGGGGACATCTTCTCATTAAAGGGAAATCTTCACTTTAAGGAAATATCTTCCTTAGCAATAAAAAAACACATGAATCTTTGCTAGTTCGCTCATTTGAGTTTTTTCTGTTCACAAGCTCGCAATATTTTTGAGCTATTGCATAATGCTAACTGGTTTATTCGACTAGTTCCAAACACGATTCGCGGTTCTTTGTTGCGTGCGAATAAAAGAAGAAAAAAAAAGAATATGGTCAAGTTCACGGCCAAAGAGAGTGACTGATGGAGTGAAAGAGTCGGCAATCATGTGCTGTGCTTTTCGTTTTATTCTTTACTTTTTTTTTTTTGCGTGTTTGGTTTGCCTTACTTGTTGTATTCGTTTTGTGCTTATTTTTTTTCAATTTTTCGCATATTATTCTGCTCTGTTGTGTGTCGTTCGGTCAGTGGCCGTCGTCGTCTGCGTCTGCGTCTGCTGTTTGCATTGTCGTTTCCACTTGTTGTGCATGTTACTTAATAAATACATGAAATATTACACATGCTCGTCCCTGACTGCCCCCCTCCCCCCTCCGCCCCTCTGGCCTGTCTGCGTGGTCCATGTAAAGCACACAGAGTTGCAATTAATGCGCTTTTATCATTGCTCTTTTACGTTTTGTTTACATCCATTCATACGTAAATAGAAGAACAGTTACACACACACGCACACACACACAAAGAACACGTTTAATTTCCATTCATATTAAGTGAGAGGGTTTCTCTTTTATTTTCCGTTTGACCCAATGCAAGCATCTGCAATTGTGAGCGAGTTTAAAAACCGTTCACAGTTTGAATTCTGATTAAATTTTAAGCATGTACATAGTATAATTTTATTTTCGGCTGATAAGGTCACGCTCATTTTTTTTGCCAGCTATCAAATTGGCGCAAGGTCATTGACACTTGTATATCAATAAAATTGCGCTTCACACTTTGCGAATTAAATGAATTAGTTATATTTATTTTGTATTATAACCATATTATGTTTCCTAAAAGTTTCAAATGATTTTCATAAATAATAAACACAAATAAATAATACCAAACAATATTCAGCTATATTTTTATCGACACTTTAAACTGTTCCTAGAGAACAGCAGCTTATCATATTCAATAGAACTAAATCCATTCCCAGTTCCATATTCGCACGAATTGTTGTGCGTCATGCACGTGATTCCCGCTAGTTGCCACTTTCTGGCCATATCATGAATTTAGCAACCAATTTGTTTTTTTTTTTTTGCTGGTTTTCTGGTTTTTTATTTTGTGTGTGCTTTTTTTACCAGACTGACTGTCGTTGCTGTACTTTAACACCTCGCTGTCTGCGCATTTACCAAAAACCAAAGAATTTGCTGCACTGGCGACATCCGAAACCTCTTTTGTTTTTATTTTTATTTTGATATGTTCGTATTTTGATGATGATGATGTACGGGGGAATATCGCGTGATGAGCGTATTATAAATGCGAATGTGTTTTTTGTTATTGTTTACAAATGTGCCTGTTGCTATTTTCGCGGAAGTAGTCGAGTGTCGTTCCGTCGTTCCGTCGGTCCGACTGTCGTTTCGGTCCCTTTTCGGCGATTACGCGTCAAAATAACAGCCTGATAAAGAAACCGAGAACGCGAACGCACTCTGATGACGCTTTAGGCGTGAATGTGTCAGTCAGTGCGATTCGTGTTCTGGGAAAACTGACACCGACTGCTGATTGGGCAAAGAAAGTACGCAGTTGGCATAAAACACGCGCCGACTGGACTCACAGAGCAGGGCCAAAACAGGAAGACGGGCAGTCCCCAGTCCCAGTCCAGGCTCCGATTTTGTACATTCCATAATTAGGTATTAACGAGAAGGACCCCACCTTTTCATAATACTCATAATGCTTTGCACAGGGAAAATAGTTAATGACAAGTATGGTTAAGATATCTTGATAAACAAACAAGTTTTTCATACAAGAACCTACTTTTCGACCGATTGTTCCTATGGCAGCTATATGATATAGGGGTCCGATGTAAATACGACTTTGCATAAATGTAGGTAGCATAGTGAAACTTATAAATGCCGAGTTTGGTCAAAATATCTTAAAAAACAAAAAAGTTTTTTATACAACTTAATTTTCGACCGATCGTTCCTATGGCAGCTATATGATATAGTGGTCCGATGTAAATACGACTTTGCATAAATGTAGGTAGCATAGTGAAACTTATAAATGCCGAGTTTGGTCAAGATATCTAGATAAACAAAAAAGTTTTTCATACAACTTAATTTTCGACCGATCGTTCCTATGGCAGCTATATGATATAGTGGTCCGATGTCAATACGATTTTGCATAAATGTAGGTAGCATAGTGAAACTTAAAAATGCCGAGTTTGGTCAAGATATCTAGATAAACAAAAAAGTTTTTCATACAGCAACTTAATTTTCGACCGATCGTTCCTATGGCAGCTATATGATATAGTAGTCCGATTTAAATACGACTTTGCATAAATGTAGGTAGCATAGTGAAACTTATAAATGCCGAGTTTGGTCAAGATATCTAGATAAACAAAAAAGTTTTTCATACAGCAACTTAATTTTCGACCGATCGTTCCTATGGCAGCTATATGATATAGTTGTCCGATATAGATAAGATCTTGCATATATATGAGGAGCATTGTAATACGAATAAATGCCGAGTTTGGTTAAGATATCTAAAAAAACAAAAAAGTTTTTCATACAAGAATCTACAATTCGAGCGATTGTCCTATGACAGCTATATGATATAGTGTTCCGATCCAGCTGGTTCCGACATATGTACTGCGTGCAACAGAAAGAGGGACGTATGCAAAAGTTTCATAAAGATAGCTTTAAAACTGAGTATTTGAGTCTTGCATTTAGAAATTGATCGAATTTTCTCTGAGTGTACAACTGCAGCCGAACGTGTGTTGTGCACTCATGACTATTTTTAGTGCGTGCAATTTTCCGGTTATTCTGCTGAAAGGGACAGTCGACTTGCGAGATGCCTTTTATGAATTTCTCTAGAGTCTTTGGCTAATTTTATGCAACACGTTGCAATTTTCTGACATTTGCTTCCTTTGGCCCCCATCCCGCCCCTCTGCCCCGTTCTGGCACTGCAACTGCGACACCTTCGCCAGGCGCTTCCTCTTCAATAAAGAAAACAGAAAGAAAAAAGAAAAACAAACTGAAATGACATTTGTGGAATTTTAAATTTGGCTTCGCGGTCGTTCTGTGGCAACGTTCGCGTTTGCGTTTGCGTTTTTCTTCATTCCCAGCGACGATTGGCCATTGAACCTGTGCCAAGTTTTTTTTTTGCTCTTTAGTGCTACTTTTTTTTTTTATATTTCTCGAAATAAAACTTGTAGTTTTCATATGTACTCGTGTGTGTTCTCTTGTATAAATATATTTTTATATTTTTTTCTTTTGGCTGCGATCCTAAAAGTGTTAACATATTTTTGGCCCAACATTTTGCAGTTTTTATAAGTCGTTGTAGTAATTAAATGAGGACTGATTTATAGCCAAAGGGACGTGAGCTGCAGCTGGGATATATTTTCCAACTATTTAAATGACGCTTCAAAATTAAACTTGATTTAATCTTTTCCGTTGAAAGCATTTGGTGGTTATCTATAGATAGTTAAATAGTCATTGTAACTGTAATTTCGTTTATCAATACACATTATCAGCTCAGTCCTCAAGTGGCCAATTCGCACTTCGCTTTTGTAGCCTAAGTACATAAGACATTTGTCCTTATCTCAGTGCATTGTGTGAGTGATTACCTTGCCAGGGAGGGGAGGGGGGGGGGGGCACTATCAAGATTGGAACTAGTTCCGTTACAATCGGCTGCATTTCTTGCCTGTCTCTATATATGGGGGGAATTACAAAAGAACGGAGCTCATTATGCATACAATTGCAGTACACGTGCCCCGTTCATTTCACCGCAAGGTGGGCTAAGTAATTCCATTCATTAACTGCGTTTAACCAATGTCGCTTGCGTAATCAATTTGACACTTGGAGCAGCCACTTGGAAGGAGAGCGGAGAGCGGAGCGGAGCGGGGCCCATGTGACATGTGCCGAGTCGAACTGCGTCTTAGCAAAGTTGCAAAAGGAAATACAAAAAAAAACAACAAAAATAAATGAATGCAGCTGCGCTCTTGCGAGAATTTATCAAAGCGAGACAGCATGCAAACAAGAAGCAACGGCAGAAAAGAGAAGCGAGATCTAGAAGGAGAGAGGGAGAATGAGTAGTAGAACCTGTAAACGCCAACGATTAACAACAACAAAAATATTTTGCACGCTAGTTAAGCGCGCGCGTTAAGCATACGCCGCATTAACCCTCGTTCGCCCAGCTCCGTTTATGTGCTTAGCGGCGCATTTTGTGAGAAACAATAACAAAAACAATAACTAGTTCGAACACACAATGAAACCAATAAGTGGGAAAGAGGGGGGGGTATTGTGTGTGTGTGTGTGGGCTACGAGAAGCGGTAGCAAAGTCAAAATGAAGCAAAATATTTTTGTTTTCCTTTACATTTGGCAAATCCAATAAAATGAAACGTGCAAATACTGGAATAATTGTGCACAGCAGAAATCTTGAAAAACAGACAGATAGGAGTGAGAAAAAGAGAGATGAGAGAGTGACATAGAAGACGGGAGAGAGAGAGAGAGAGAGAGCGAGAGCGTGCTAAACACATGAGAGCAATCAGTCGCATCTATAATATTTGATTTATAAATAAATAATAACCTTGCACGAGCCCCCCTTCCCGAACGCCGTTGATCTCTACTTA